TGATACTTTCAGTTTCATGTAGTATCAGAATACAATGATTATACTGTAATAATGTACTTAACTTAAAACAGTAAATGTTATGAGAAACCGCTCGTGCTCTTTGTTGCGGAAGTGTCAGTAAAAAGTAAAAAGAACTCCCCTGCCGTGTCAGGGAATTAACCCTGCCGTGACCCGGATTCGAACCGGGGTTGCTGCGGCCACAACGCAGAGTACTAACCACTATACGATCACGGCGAGCTACGGGGAGGGATACGCACATGAGTGAAAGAGGCCTTCAAGTAAAATGGTCTCTACTCTCTGCAGCTGTTTATTCTAGAGTATGGAGGACGAGAAATGACTTAAGTATAAATAAATAAATGTAGAAATAAAACGGGCAGGTAACATCTGTTTAGACGCTACAGAACACTATACTCAAAAACATCCCGTTTCAAGAACAGCTTCTTCCCTCAGGCTGTCTCTGTGTCAAACAGCTGAAACTCAAATATCTCTTGTTCTTGTTCATCTCTATGTTTGTTTCTTGTTTTTTTAAACTGTTGTACTAAGAGAACAAAGGAAACCCGGATTCAAGTTCCTCGTGTGTGTTCACATACCTGGCAATAAAAGCGATTCTGATTCTGATTTCTGGTTCTCCGTAAACCACTAAGTGTATATATGGTTTTTTGTTTATGACGTAAAAATCATCATTTGCCATTTATCCGTCCCATATGGTCTAGCGGTTAGGATTCCTGGTTTTCACCCAGGCGGCCCGGGTTCGACTCCCGGTATGGGAACTACTTTTTTAATAATATTGGATCTTGTTTTTATTAAGACAGGCCTGCCGCCATCTTCATTTTGCAACATCCTCATACATCATATACATTTTGAATTTGTTTTGTCCTTATTTTGATTTGGATCTTAAAATTGAACTGACTTGAACAGGTCTTATTTTACGTCATTCATTTTTTGCCTTGGATTTCGTGAAGCACTTGTGTAACCTTGTCTAGACAAGTGCTGTACTAATAAAAGTGATTATTATATGATTGTAAAATAATTCCTTGTTTTACTTCGCTGCGATTGGGAATTGAACGTGCACGTGATTTACATCATGTGACGATGTGTGTCACATGACGCGGAAGTAGTACAGCGTTAGATGAAGCGTAGATCGGTGGATATTTAGTGAAAACGGCGGCGGTACAGGTTGAATTAAAAAGGACTCGATCCTGGACTAACAGCCGACATGGGGCTGTCAGAGCTGGAGGAGTGTTCTCTGTCCCTGGACGGAAAACTGCTCCGCTTCATGGAGCAGCTGGAGTCTCTGGAGGAGAAACGAGCCGCTCTCAACTCTCTCATCGAGCAGGTAGCACAGAGAGCCACCATCAAACCGTCTGCACAACAACCTGGGTTCATCATGAGTTACACAGGATTTCTCAATGAGGACAGATCAGATTTCTCTTATGGTTACTGATTATAATAATAATACTTTTGTTTTGTGTAACAACAAGGCTGCTTTACAGAACTGATTAGTGTAATGTAGTCTTAAGTACGTCTGAATGTTTTTTAAAACTATAATGTGAGCAGCAGGATACTTTTCTCCTTATTTGCCTCTTTACTGATTGTTCAGCATTATCTATCTCATTTATGTTTTAGATTTGAAACCTTGCAGTTTACCTTGTATCCTCTCCCCGAATCTATATTAAATGTTAAAGTTTCCATTCCGTGTTCTCCATAGGGATGGTTTACCACGTCCAAGGCACGATATTCCATGGGAAACAAGCAAGTCTCTGCACTTCAGTATGCAAGTGAGATCGAGCCACTGGTCTGTGTTCACGCCAGGTAAACAATGAGTTGGTTATCAGGGAAATTAATGCTCCAAGGTTCATCTGTGTGCACTGTCAGTTTTGGAAAGCTTTTTTGCAGCTGGGATTCCTGTGTTGCAGAACACTGGACAATGGTGAGGTGGAGTTCTGCACAGAACGAGTTACACAAAGTACAGAGTCTGGTAAAAACGTGAAGCCCATAGAGGATATTGGACCTCAAGAGGAAGGTGAGTGTTCTGCACAATGTCCAAAAATATAGCCTGTTTACATCCTTTAATTTACCGAGTATATTGCTATTTTAAAAGTCATTATATGATTTAATTTCTCAGGTGTCAGGAGAAGAAACAAACCTAAAAAAGTTGTCGCTGAAAAAAAGGCGAATGATGAAGCAAGTAGCGAGAAAGCTCCTGAAGTAACTCCAGTAAAGAAAAGTGACCAGAATCCTCAGCAAGACCCACTGAAATGGTTTGGTATTCTGGTGCCACAATCTCTTAAACAAGCACAGTCATCCTTTAAGCAAGGTATGTTATAAACATACTCACCCTTGTGTCAGTGTGTCATTCTTAGTTTCCCTCACTTCTGCATCTGTCATTTTGCAGCCCACTTCTGTATATGGTTGAGTTGTGTTTTTTTTTTGCAACACATCTCTCTATGTGGTTGTGTATTTAACATGCTTTGTTATGATAAGATTTTTGTGTTTTGATCATTATTTGTTTATTTGCTTGTGTTTTATTTAGTTGCCATGGGATGAGCTCTCAGGGCCACACTGGATACTTGCAACAACAGAGGGATACAGATTTTTATATGCACATAAATATAAATATTTATATGTTGATGCATTAACTTGGATACAGATGTAAATGGTTAAGAGAAGATTTAAGTGAGATTTTAGATTTTATTGTCCTGCTGCTGTCAACAGTCACCAAAGATAAGATCATTTAAAGTCTAAATGTAACTTATATAATATATCACTGTATCATCTCTGTATCATATTATCCCTAATTAGATATATAAGAACAATGTAATTTTATTGGTGACAGTGGTATTTTCATGGATGTGTGCAAGATGAAAATTCTGTTCTTCCTTTTTTTCTCTGCAGTTATCGAGCTCTCCGCTGAGATTGCAACCCTTCAGACTGCAGTTTTAAACAGCAGAGAGGAACTGAAGAGCTGCATGAAAGACAAACACATTCTCCAGAGGAAAACCTCAGCTGCTCAGGTGGAAAAGACGGTGGATTAACACTCTCGAGGAAAAGCAGACGATGATGTGACAGGAGCCTGTGGCCACGGAAACAGAGTGACTAGAGTCAGTAGGTTACACTTTAGGGCCCAGTGGACTTTAACTGGCAGATTTCTAAGTGAAGATCACAAATGTAGCTGCTCCAACTAAATGATTTATTGGTGTAATAAACTGTTTTGTGCTGTTTGAATTCATCAATGTGTAGCTTGTTTGGAATGGATGTTATTTCTCAGGATTAATTCAATCTTTGTTTTCAACTAATAAATTAATGTAATATATAATAATGAACCAAACCTGTTTGAACCTTTTTAATACATGATCAGTACTACTTTCTCAAAGGCAACACAAGATTATCTTTACTGATGAAGATCATTCACTAAGTTTGCTAAGTTTTGGGAAATCACTTTGTCAGGTGTTTGTCTTTATTTGGTTAAAATTAGGGCCTTTATAAAGTAAATGGATCATAGATATTGATTAGCCTGTCAATCACTTACTGTATATTTTAAATACTGCTTTTTAATTTATTTCTTGTGCTTGTTTACAGATCTCTGTTGCAGATTTGTATTCTTCTCTATTTATTTTTGTTAAGATTGTGCAAAGCCCTTTCAGGCATTACTTTTTCCAAAAGTTTATTATGATCATTTTTTATTATTATTAAGTCCGTTCCATGAGGGCATTCACAACAACTTGACAACCCAAACATTCTTAATAACCGTATATATCAGCCATTGATTAAAAACAATGTTACAACACGCTTTAAAAAGGTTTTCCTATCAGTAGGCTGTACCAAATTGTCTTTCCTACAGTCTGTATGTTGTGTTTTATGAATAAATAATTACAATAAGACTTACTACAATTTATTTGCTTTATTTTTCATAACATTGAAATACAGTAATCCAGTCTTACTTGCAAACAATACAATAAATGTCGCTTTATAATAATAAAACAATAACACAACTTTATTTCCACAGTACTTATCTAAAAAAGGTTGCAAGGTGTGTTGCAAAATAACAGAATAAAACATGACTGAATGAAAATAAGAAAGATATAAAAACAGAATATCCGTGTGAAAACACATTCCTACTGAGGATTTAAAAAACAGGTACCTTACTCGGGAAAGGAATATAAAAATAAATACCTGCTGTTATGCTATTATATTTGTAATAATTTGAAAGAGCGCCACCACCCTGAGATCCCAGCAGCTTTGACCGGGCACAGCCGAACATTCCCGGGAACTGTCGAGATGGGAGGGACATGAAACTCCCGAGTGCTGTGTGCACTTCCTGCCCCGATGACACCGCCGTCCACACGCCTCCATGAAAACACGGCGCGCTGCCTCCACTTGCGTTCGACCGTCGGATGGGAGCGCGGGCACGGTGGATGTATCCTCGCCGTCACATTGTCATTGATGCTCCCAGAACATCCGCCGATCGTGGCCGATTTCGGACGTGAAAAATCTCCGCAACTGCCGCTTCGAGAATCCCATTTTCCTTTTTGTCTGCGCAACCGGCAGCGAGGTTTTTCCTGCGGATGTCTGAGCCGGGGATCGGGAGGTAAACACGCCGGCCTGCATGCGCTCATGATCGGAGCCGAGGTGAGGCTGATACCTCGGACTCACACTGCAAGTTGATTCGTGCTCCAGAGCAGAGGAAGAGTCGGCTCCAATGGCGTCGGTCGCGAAGGTGTCCATCCTGGATTACTTCAATATTGTGTTCGAGGGAGAAAATGGCAAAATCGAGTCCAACTGCAAAGCTTGTGGCACCAGGATCCAGGCGAAGCGCAGCGTCACGTCCAACTTCGTAACGCATCTCAAGGTAATGACTTCAGAATAAGGTGTTATGCGCTTGTTATCGTGAAGGGACGGATCCTCTGCACTTGTTTTCAGTCCTGACATATTTCTGTGTGGTGCCTGGACCTGAATGAGTTTACTGCAACAAAACCAAACAGATGAGAATAACTGCAATATTCAGAGAGAAGCTGTAATTACCAGTCAAATGCAGACTTCAGGAGAGGCCTCCTCATGGTTCAAACACATGGAGTCAGGGTGAGGCTTAGTTCAAACCTCAAGTCAGGGTCCACACTTTATGTATATAGTTGAATATAAAATAATCCTAGTGATCTTTTCACTAGTGTGTTTCATCTAAATTGTGCAATTTATTGTTTTCTTTACCCTATAACTGGCCCTTTTATTTAAATACTTGACATGTTTTACTGGACAAACTAAAAACTTTTGAGTTTTTATGACAACTGAAGGCTACCACAGGTTCTCTTTCATGTTTGGAAGGGGAGGGTGAGGTGAGGGAGATTCAGCTGCAAACCTAACCACTAGATGTCACAAAATTCTACGCACTGAACCTTTAAAAAAAAAATTAAGGCAAATAATAGGAAACGGTTAAAAAACAAATGTATGTAAATCAATGATAGTCAGAGTCATCCATATTGTACCCTCTTCCACAGAAATATAGACAAGTCAACAGGGGATATATATAAGCACTAAGCACTAAATTAAATATTCTACCTGTCAGCCAATAACACTACTATGCCACTCTCCCAAATAGCGGAAGCACCAGGCCATGTATGATGACTTTGTGAAGAGGAAGGATATGAAGAGAGAGGGTTACTCTACTGGTTCCCTGCACACGTTCACCAGCAATGGAGGGAATACACGCTTCAGTGTTCCCATCACTACTGGAGGAGGAGGAGGAGGAGGAGGAGGAAGAGGAGGTGTTGGTGGAATGGGAACTCTGGACGGAGGAGTAGGCTCTGGAGGAGGGGCGACCAAGTTTGACAGACATGACCCACGTCAGGTGCAGTTATACACCACTTGAGATGCAAATAGCTGTCCCACTGTTGATGTAACCCTGTTTTATCTAATGGGTCATTGCAATGAAATCATCATCATAAGGGTTATTTACACTGGTCTTTGTCACCATAGGTGTTGATCTCAGAGGCTATAGCCAAGATGATCGTGCTTGACCTGCAGCCAGTGTCCATAGTGGAAAACCAAGGTTTCAGGGAGCTGCTGCAGTTCTTGGAGCCACGCTACACCCCAGAGCATCAGCACTACATCCAGAGTCAGCTCCTCCCAGCCTACGCCTACCAAGTCCAGCTGACCACCCGTCAGGCCCTGGCCTCGGCACATGCCCTTAGCCTCAGCCTGGATCTCTGGAGGGGCTTTTCTGGAGCCACATCAGGGTACGGAGGTAAAAGTAACCAAGAACAACTTGATTCCAACTTTGATTCTCTCACTGCCATCTCTTCTCTCTCTCTCTGCAGTTACCTCAGTGTCACCTGCCATTTTCTCACATCGGATTGGCAGATGCGTTCAGCCCTGCTCGCATGCCTTCCCCTGACCGGCGGCACCTCCGGCAATCGCATCCTTTCAGAATTTGATGAAGTCTGCCACTCTCACGGGGTGTCAGGGAGAGCTTTTCGTGTCGTCGCGGACCCTTTTCTGGCCACGGCAACCACAAAGCCATGTTGTCTTCCTGGTTTCCTGGTGTCACCTCATCTCACTAGCATGCAAGATGACAACAGTGAAGACGAGGTGGACAATGGTAACGACGCAGAGGAAGGGATCAGGAACGGTCATGGTGATGGGGCGGATGAAGGGGAATGGGAGGACTCCTGGGAGCAGGGTCTAGGTGTTTGTCGGGTGGACTGTTTCTCTCGCTCTCTGGAACAGTGTGTCAGGGAGGGGCTGCGCTCCTGTCCGCAGCTCTCCTCCACACTGGCCAAGGCTGCTTGTTTCTATAACTACATTACCTCTGCTGTGCCACCTGAGAAACTAAGCCAAGTATTTGATGGTACTGGACTGATGATGGGGGGACCAGGAAGTGCCCCCTCTGCAGTTAGAGACTGGGCTGCTCAGCTTAAGGTATGTGATATTGGTGATAGTAGTTTACAGACAATACATCCTTTATAAATAATGAATAAAACATTATCTATATCATAAGTAGATATAAGGACATTTTAAATAGGACATTTACATTTGGTTTCTATTAAAACTATGTTATATTATCAGTTGCACCAGTCACTGAAGGAACAAATATGTTAATAACAAATTTAAATGACCCAGTATGTTTTCCAACTACATCATACACTGCTTATGATGTTTTAGTGTTACCATTATATACTATGCCTATATAATATATTAGTTTCAATGACTGGTGTAGTTTTATAAAGTTTTGTATTCAAAGAATGATGACATTTTAGCTTTTCTGCAGGAACACAATCAAATGTGTTTCAAGGGTAAAAAAAAGAAATTTTTGTTTGATTTTTGATGCAGGTGCTTCGACGGCTGCTGGACTCAGTGGAGTTCCTGGAGGAGGTGAGTGGTCCAGGGGAGCTGGCACCGAGCGCTTCAGAGAGAGCCCTCCTGAGGGAGCTCACTGACACTTTGGAGCCCTTCACTGAGGCCTGGGACATGGTGCATGGAGACAGACAGGCAGAAAGACATGTGTCCATCAGCTTAGGGCTGCCATGTGTCCTGGGTCTTCGTAAGCATCTCTCTGAGACGTTGACCCCCAACTGCCCCTCTCTCCTGGTGGCCCTCAGCCAGGCTCTAGAGCGTCGGTTGGCCCCCATCCTGGAGGACCCCCTCTACATCACTGCCACCACTCTGGACCCTCAGTTCAAGCTCACTTGGAGCAGCAACCCTGACTGGCACAGACAGGTTCTAATTGAGGAGTTATCCAAACATTCCGCAGCCTCCAGCCCCGTAGATCTCAATACAGAACCACACCCTCAATCCCAGACTCCTCCTGCTCCATCTCCTGCTCCATCGCCAGTTTCCTCACTTTCTCGGCCCTGCAAGTTGTTCTCTTTCATCAAACAGAGACCCGCAACACAGGCCAAGAGCCTGGAGCAGGAGTTAAGCGTATATCTACGAGAGGAACCAACAGACGAAGATGCTTTGCATTACTGGCGGCGTAAAGCTATTGACTTTCCTCTTCTTGCTCAGGTGGCAAAGAGGGCGTTCACCATACCTGCTTGCGGTACTGTGGTGGGGAACATTTTCACTACTGCCGAGCGCTGCCTGCGGCTAGAGAGGAGCCACATCTTACCAAAGAACCTGGAGACGCTCATCTACCTCAAGGCAAACTACAGATTGTTATGGACTTAGAGCTAAGAGTGACATCATTCTTTTAACTAAACAGCAACTCAATGATTTGTATCTTCTGTTGTGTTACTTCTTGGATACTTAGCTCTGTTCCTCTCTGAGGAAACTGAGATAGCAACATAACACAGTCCTCATGCTCCTCTGAGATGAATTAACCAGAGTTTCTGTGCGGAGGCGGTTCAGAAGGGTTTCACTGACTACTGTAGGTGTGGATTGCTATGTTCGCCATGCAGCCCGCTTACAGACGATCATGTCACATGCTGCAGACTTAGGGGACTAGAAGCAGATCAATACTAAAGTATTTACTTCGACATTAGTTTTGCCTGATCAGGGTCCTCAGACAACCACAAACCTTCCACTCTTTATTTTCCTAACCTCAAAGACAGCTTTTATCTGCACCAGCCAACACTGATACACCAACAATAACAAAATGGTTAATTACTTCAAAGTGTAGCATATGATTTATACTGATATACAATAATTAAGGTTGTGACTAATTCATTTGATGATGTTTTTGAAGGAACGCATCAGCAGGTAAACAATATGCCCCCCCCTTATTGTTTAATTTTCTCTGTGTGTGAATGTCTCATCATCAGGACACAATAATAAATGAGTTTCACCCCCTGACGCAGAGCTTGCAGATGCGAGTGCATGTGTACAGCACACGCCATTCTTATTTGATTATTTGACCCTAATTTATTTATATTTTCCCCCTGTCAGTCCCTTATAACTCTCTGTTCTCTGTCAGAGTGGAGGTCAATTCCATTTCATTTTCATTATCTGCACAGTTTTTTACCCCTATTTTCCAATTTCATTTCCAATTCTGGTTCTGAACTTTTGAGCAATTGTAATGGGTTTGACCCTAGCTCCGCCCCTTATGGCAGGCACAGAATCAGTGCATGTGGCGTAACAGAGGCCTCTGCTCTGTCTGATCTCGCGGAAATATTTCAAAGCCACTTTTCAGGGCCTCGCTCACTTGGAAGGAGAAGCTGTGAATGTTTCAGTCTGTGTTTCCCTTTTTGTTCAGGAACTCTGTCGCTCCGGGCTGCACCATTGGAGAGGCAGCATAATTGCGAGTAATTCCATTACAGTTAGATAAGAGTCAGCAGGCAGGCCCCACTGACAGCCCACATGGTCCCTCTCTTTCACAGCCAAATAGGCTCACACAAACCTATTGCTAAAGTACTTTGAAATAAAGTGCAGAAAGATATGTGTTGATATTGCAACCTTGCTCTCTACTGCTACATCAGACTTTTGTGATTAAAAAAAACACTCAGACAACAACAATCAGTTTGAAAATGGAATGTGATGGAATTGCAGTGATGTGTCGATAAGGAGTGTCACTAGGATAACATCTTTTCAACTCGGCTTCATGCCATCCCACATAGATCTTAATTATCAAAGATTGCTGTGATCATAATGATCATCACCTCAGGACGTCTTTGGATTTAGATTGTGTAAGATATCGCTGCAGGAGTGAAAGTGTGTTTATCTTTGTGTGTTTGTGCTCATCATCCCCATGGGTAGGTTGTTGTTTGTGAGTGAAGCATCTCTCTCTCTCACACACACACTCAAGGACACACACGAGGCAGTGACAGCTCATCCATTCGAGTTAGGCGAGCAGGCTGCAGTCCTTTTGGTAATTGCCTCTGAAATTAATTACTTGGCATGGAGGTAGACCGAGGGAGGGGAGGAAATTGTAATTGAACTGCCTCCTCCCTCCCTCCCGTGCCTCGCTCCCTCCCACCCTCTCCCTCATGCCTCAAGTTATTACATCTGCAGTGCAGAAAGCTATTTTCTGTCTCCAAATACACACACGGACACAAAATCACATACACACCTACAAAACCAATTTCCTCCTCCCCCACAATGGCCTCAGCAGAGGGCCATATCGATGCAGGGTGATTTCATAGATTGATTGTTCACAGGCACATGCACACTGGGCCACAGTGCGACCCTGCACTCTGATTCATACAGATACCAATGCTCTTCTTGCACATTGTGTATTTGTTTGTACTGCCCAGCTGCCAGTCTTTTCCCATTTTTGGGGAGGGGGTGCCCTTTAGCTGGCCTTGGTGCTTTGCTATGGCCTAATGAGCCGCAGGACATTAGAGCTGGAACAAAGAAAAGTGGTGTTCAGTATCAGGAGAACCCTGGTTACCCCATACACACAGACACACACACAACCAGGCAGCGTTATTAATAACCTGCCTGTTGCTGGCCTGTTGACATGTCGGATTACAGAGCTACCTTGTGAGAGCCGTACATTTTTATGCATTTATATTGCACTTTCCTCTCTGAATATGACAGTTTAGCCAGAATAAATGTAAGGCCTGTCTTGCCCTACTTTCTTCATGCAGCATCGGCACTTCGACTTGTGTTTGGCCTTTCGGTAGCTAGGGCATGAGGGGGGCTGGGTCAACTGAGCCACCTTCCCCCTGCCCCTGCCAGTCATTCACATACTGTGACTCCGACCATAGCACACAAAAGGATCTATTTCTGTACATGCACTAGAGTTATCTCTCCACTTACCCTGACTAAATCCCTCTCTCTCCCTCTCCCCCTCTCTCTCTTGCTCTCTCTCTACCTAACACTATCACCCACTTGCACAAAATCATGGCTGACAGAAACAGCCGGTTAAGTGTTAAGAAGAAGGTGGAAAACAAAACCAACGATGACAAGGATAAAGGAAATGGGAAGGAAAAAGGTGTGAAAAGGCCTGAGAAAGTTGTGAAGAAGCCGGAGAAAACCCCCGAGCAGCCGAAGACTGAAGAAGAGAAGAGGAATGGGGAAAGCGGAGGGGCCTCAGGAGCGGAGGTGGCCAACAGTGAGGAAAAAGCTGAGTTTCAGCCCATAGAGCTGCCGCCGTTTGAGATTGTCACAGGGTGGGTACGATTTTATACCACAAGTGTTAAGAGTCAGCATGATCCGCTTTCAAACCTGTTTTGCTCTTTAACAAACTTTTTGGTTATTTCCTTCAGTAGATGAGGTTGTTTTTCTTTCTATTTGATCATATTGTTCCCGTTGTATGTTCTATATTTCAATTTCAATGAGGATTTAAACAAATGACTTGCACCTGCTACCCATACTTACCCAGCGGTAAGAATAGGGATGAGTCACAGAGCCGACACGGATGCCGGCCCCTGCCATATCACCACTCTGCCTGTAGCATCTGTTATAAGAGATCTATTCCTGTAATTTACCGGGCTATTCATATTCTAGAAAACAATGGAATACAATCACTGAATCATGGCATATTCAGAGGTTATGGGATTATTTTAATCAGCATACTGTTTTGGATGCTTGGAAAATCATGAATGCTGAGGGCATAGAAGTGAATACATCTTCACCAGGAAAAGAATTTCTGGTGACACTGTCAATGCACCACGATTGAAGGTGACAAATTACTTTGAAAGTATTGTGGATATATGCATCCTGTTGATTGTTTTTTCACTTAGTCCTGTTTATCTAATTGACATGCATTAAAAAACCCTCAGGAGGATGACGGTAAGTCCTGAAGTGTTTTGCTTGCCCTCACGTCGACTGAAAAAGAAAATGAAGTTGACTGAATATTGTATCCGATGGGGATTCTTCAGGAGCCCCAATCAAAAATTCCCAGGGGCCCCCTCAAACAGCATTCATTAACATGATGTTATAATAATCTTACACCAATGAAGGGTAGGAAGTGTAAACATGTATATTTATTTTTTATTTTGACTTTCATAAGTACATAAAAAAAAGAACATTAAAACTTAAAATTTAAAAATATAAATATAAAGAGCAATGAAAACCAAAAAGAGCTAGTGTTCAAATTAGCACGCATACATTGGAATTTGTTTTGTCTTTTTTTTGTCACTTACATAACTCTTCATTATAAGACACTGCTGTGGATTAGAGTCCTTGGGGGCCCCCTCATGGCCTGGGGCAGTTGTGCCTGTTCACAAGCACACCTCTGATTGTATCTGAGGTAAACTCTCATTTTCATTGTCCACCAGGGAGCAGATGAGCGAGTTTTACTTCAAGTTTCAGTTCAGGAATGTGGAGTACTCATCAGGGAGGAACAAAACCCTCCTGTGCTTCAGAGTGGACACCGCTGGAGGCACCGTGGAGCCTCTGAAAGGTTACATGGAGGATGAACATGCCACGGCTCATGCTGAAGAAGCCTTCTTTCAGCAGGTAATGAACACACACTCAGCTGTTGTCAGTGGAGAAGATTTTTATACCTCCATGCTGGTGACTGCCTGAGGCCGGAGCCTTTTTTATTTTGAGTTTCCATTTGTTACATAGTTGTGAACAGTGTCTCAAAAAATACTTTGAAGGAAATTAATTTTAAATTTGATTAGATTTCAGTGGTTAAAGGTCAGAGACCAAGGTGGCTGTGACCTTCAAATTCTGTACAAACACTCACTTCAACTTAAAGATGAAATGAGGAGAATTTGAGGAAATGCCTGGACATTTGGTACAAATTTTGGAAGAAAAACTTGGACTCAAAGGTCAACCTTGTTAAAATGTTATTCTAAGAACACCTTGAGATTATCCTTTCAAATTAGGTACAAATGTTCACTTTGACTAACAGATTAACTGATTGACTTGAGGTCAAGGCCCTGGTGGTCTCCACAAAACATATTTTGTACCTCTTGAACTGTAGGGAGTGTATCTAAATTTTGTCCAGTTGTTACTCGGATTAAAAGATGAATTGATAAGATTTCAGTGGCCAAAAGACAAAGGTCAAGGTGACCTCATATGAGTCTGGAGTATGAAGACTGAAACTGCACTGATTGGCAGAGACATATAACCACAGGGTGCTAATTCTAGTTTACCCTTAATGCCCCCATAACCCCCCACTCTTTCCTCTCCAGGTGCTGCCTAACGCTTCACAGGAGTATGATGTTACATGGTATGTATCATCCAGTCCCTGCTTGGCTTGTGCAGCCAAGCTGGCCAGTATCCTTCAGCAGCGCAAAAAGCTCCGCCTCTGCATATTCTGCTCCCGTCTCTTTGAGTGGGAAGAGCCTGAGATCGTAGAGGGGCTCCGAGCTCTGGTGAGGGCCGGCTGCAAACTGCGGATGATGAAGCCGTCCGACTTTGTGCACGTTTGGGAGACGTACGTGGACAAAGATGACCAGAGCTTTACACCCTGGGAGGACTGTCAGGAGAACTATGAGTACTATGTGGACAAACTGACTGACATCCTCAAGTAGATGTGAGTCGATACATGTTGTGTTTGCAGTGATGTGAGTCTACATGCTTTATCTGTGTCTATATGAAATTTAAATTTTTATCTGGATAATTACTCCCTTTTCTTTTTGTATTTTACCCATGTTACAGATGCAAAGGATCTCCCCACTGACTCAACCACAAATCAGCCTTCTTGTGAAATCACCACTTTTTGAACATGTGTTTCTTACAGTCACATTTGATGGTGCATATCAATCAATATTAGTTTCAGTGAACTCTGGGGACAACATTTTGTATTTTTTATTTTGATAATTTCATTGAGAGACACAGAAATGCTTGAATTTCTAGATACATGTGTATTGTATTCCAACCAGCAGAGCAACAACATTCACTGCTGAATCATTTATTGCATTAAATAAGTTTTGGAGAAAGTTAATTTACAATCTAGTGACATCTGGTGTTTGTTCTAAGAATCAAAATGCTAATTGGTAGATTATCCTGCAGAGGATCACTTTATGAACAATGCAATAGTAAACAAACAATGTGTGATTGATGCTTATCACATAAATAATTGTATATTTAATTTCCTTTTACAGTCAATACATCAGATAAAGAAATGTACAATTACCACCAATGTTTCACAACCAAGTTGAAACTATACACAGTTGTGTTGCAACAGGGTTGCTGTCCATTGCTTCAGAGTGCAATATCTCACCAACAATTTGATGAATTCCAATTAAATTTGTAGCCAACAATGTTGTGAGAGGATAAATCTTATTCAAATTTACATCTACTCTTATCTTGCACTGCAGGAAATTCAGAATATTTACATGACCTCTATCCTCAGGTGCATTAAGATACTAATGTAGCAAATCTCAGAACGTTAGTTCTTAGGTCAAAGCACAACTGAGATAAGGTGCCCAGGTAGCTCATCTAATGGAGCTCGTACCACTAATGAAGCTGCCTCCTCCTCGCTGCGGCCTGGATTTGAATTCAGCTCCGACCTTTTAATCGCTGCAGGCCATCCCTGTGCTCTCTCCCCTGTTTCTCTCTACTTTCTTTATCAAATAAAGCAGAAAATGTTGAAAATTTAAATTAAAAAAAAGCATATCTGAGGCTAAATTCTGACTAAATGAGGCTGAGCCAGACAACCTGAAGCTGAAGATAGCAACCATACAGAGTTTGGCCTCTACCTGATGTCACTTTAAAGCCAAACGTTTTTATCGCCCTGCCAGATGATAGAAAATTGCCTGTCCATACATTCAAATATAAATACATAATATATGGTGCCTTATGTCCATCAGTGCCATGGACTTTCAATCTGATAATTAGCTGAAACTCTGTGAATCCATCTTCAGTGACTCATTGTTTGAAGGACACCAGCCCACCCTCGTTTTCATCTGTTTTATCGCTTTCAGTCGTCATAGCTGGAAAGATATAAAGAGCCACATGTGTTGGATCAGTAGAAAGTTATTATTAGAGAATCTGGCACAGCAGCCACGATCATAGAGAATATATTTCATCAGTAATTTTACCTTGGCTCTCCTCTGTAGTTATGGGTAGCTTGCCGTTCTCATCTGCTTCTGCAGGTCACATTGTTAATAAAAGAATAGAAAAGAAAAGCAGAAAGTGTGAGTGAGGGATGGACACATGGAAACTTCAGAAATCATATGAAGTAAAAATTGTTATCTTATTGATCTGTCCTTTGAAAGAAAATGGTTGTCAAATACCTGTTTAAATACCTTTGGCTAAAAATGTATCCTCCTTACAAACTGTTATGTGTAACTTGTCATGTTTTCAGGGAAATTAGGATGAACTTTTCTGACATTTTATAGATGAAACAATCAGCTGATTATTCAATCATGAAAACAAACATTAGTTCAGTCAGACAACTCACGTTCAACCATTTATTGCATAGTTTGTGTTTGGCGTCTAGGCTCCAACTCAGTCACTCCAGATATGATTACACAGATATGATGGGAGTGACGAGCAAATACTTGTACGCCCCCTGGAGCCTACAGGTGGATGCTGGGGTGGTGGAGGGCTGAAGCAACTGGTAGCGATAATGCAGCAGCAATGCAAGCAAAGTGGTTGATGAGGTATGTCACATGATGTGTGTCACATGATTGGAGCAGCGCAGCTCGAGTTGGATGCCTGAACTGGCTTGCAGGGTTCACTTCATTTTCAGCATTATTAGTACTAAAAGTTTGTAAATCATCTGTTATAATATATTTTTGAGTCATTTACCTTTAGACAATGCCTCTATTCCTTCATCAGTGATGTACTCAACCAGTGGATTGGGTGCATCTGCAGGAGGGAGAAGGGAACTTTAAACACCAGAGTGTCAACAGCTAAAGTCACACCCAATCTTGTAGACGGTTTCACTGACGATAAACACAAAAATAATTAAGATTTGAATCAAGCATCTGTTGCATATGAGGAACTGGTAACCAACACAACCACAAGCCATGAGAGGTGTGAAGCTTACCAGTCCGGTCCTTCAGCTGAGCCATGGTGAGAAACAAATTTTCTTCTTCTGGTTTGTCATCATTGGCAACTGCATGACAGGAAGAGGAAAATAGGTCACATCGTGGTGAATTTTGTTGGTTATTTTTCTATGAATTACCAGCAACTCCAGAGAAACATTACTCATTTCGAGCTGTGTTGATCACATGGCAAATGTAAGTCTCATATTCACACTCTTCAAGTCTACTCCCTGCTGAGAAATGATCGCAGTCTTTTCCTGTTAAACTTTCACTAGCTAGTCAGTAAATGTGTCAGCTGCAGAGAAACAGTGGATTTCTGGAGCTTTTTCAGAGAAAACATTCTGCTGCTGCTAAAAATGACATCGTGAGAGAAGTGATAATGAACCAGAAAAGTGAACCATGCAGTTAAACTCTGAGCTGTTCTACACACAATATAAAGATTTAAGTGATAATTCTCTGTAGATCATCTGTACAAGCAACCATGTTGGCACATTGGCATTTGATACATCTATATTATAGTAAAACTGATTTTAAATGCTTTCATAATGCAGATGCTTAGAATCCTGCTTTGCTTTCAAAAAGTCCCAAATTAAAGCAACACCTGGTTTACGGATGATTCGGAGAACAATGCATCCCACAACAATGGCAATAAGGCCGAAGAAGAGTAAGCCAGAGATGGAGAGAAGCACCCTCCTCTTCAAAACTGCAGTTTCAAAATAAAAACAGAAATTAGACTGAGAGAATATTTGTTGGGTAAAAACTCTTAACTTTACAGATGTGAAATTTACTCACGAAGGTTCTTGGTCTTGAAAGAATTACTGAGTTTTGAATAAGATGGTCGACCGCTGCGAACTCCACGGCAGGTGTACAGGCTTTGCTCGGGGTCACTTTGGGGTGTGACTGTATGTCTCTCAGAGGGCGGCAGATCGATTGGTTTTCCCTCTCTGAACCTGTTAATGTTGTATGTTGAATTTGTATGTTGAATTTTCTGCATGAATTTTATAGAAACCCACACAGCAGATCCAGTAAATTGATTTAGGAAACAGGGAAGCTGTATTACCATGTGTAGTTCCAGTTGTCGTTGCTTGCCTGCACCTCACACCTGAGTGCCAAGCTGTCGGTGGCGAACACCTCTGACCAGTCTGTCAGCAGGATTATATTAGCCTGAGGGCGCTCTGCAGCAAACACAACAAAGACTTTGATGAACACATTCAACAAATGCACATAAAAAGTGAAAAAGTGGAAGTCAGAAATACTTGACCTTGGATTTTGAGTTTTACAGCAGGACTCTCGTTTGACTGGAAGATTACATCCACTCCTCTTTTTACTTGGCATGTGTATGACCCAGCGTTTTTCATCATAACAGAGCTGATGCTATAGTTGTTTCCAGATTCGGAGCTTGGAGAGCCATCTTTGTACCACAGGTACTTCCATCCAGAGGAGACATTAATATGGCAGCTGAAGGAGACTGAATCCCCAGTGTGCATCACTTCATACTCAGGTTCCTGCATCAGGGTGACTTTGGGTTTTGTACCTGAGGGTGATGATAATAATGACATTGTAATTGGAATAGTAGCATTTAGTGAAGGAAACACTCTCTAACTAGATGGTTCAAATGGTGGTCTGAATCTCAACTTCCTTATCTGAATAATTAACTTCTCTATCTCATATAAAAGTATTTTTCTAGCTTCCTTAACGAAATAGAATAAATAAGTCGATAATTCAGCAAATTTACTTATTCATATTCTTGCAAGAGATATACAAGATGATCAACATTCTTACATCTGATGGCTGGCTTAGTTTATTATATTTTGTACAATAGGTTTCTATGCATATAGAATATTGCTGATACATCAAGTGATTTGTTCAAAATGGATCTTGAGTATTTAAAATGTCACCTTTAAGGGACTGTCTCCCCCATCTTCTCCTATTGTACAACAATTTCATCCAACCCATCCTGCTTTACTACTCCGCCTGTACAAAACTAACATAACCCATAATGATACCAAAATAATAGATTTTCCCACGCCCAACTTCTCTGAACTCAATTCTAAGGCCATCACCTGCATCACAACCTCAACACCATGTGACAACACTCACACACTCAACTGCTACTTTAACTTAAAGCCGTGCAACAGGGTCCGCTTTGGAAAAAGCCTTGTACATGCAGCCATGGCAGAACAAAACACTTCAACCAACTGCCAACCCAACTCTTTGATGTCAGTCATTAGTGATGTAATGAGATCTTCTTAATTGTTATTGTTGCTATCATTAACGACTAATGATGTGTCCTGTTTCCTGTTTGCACTGTTGTTTGTTTCATGGGTAGTGGATTGTATTGGTGAATGTGCATTGCTGTAACTCTGACACCAGCCAACCAACCAACCAACAAACCAACAAAGCAACCAACAAAGCAACAAACCAGCCAATAAACCAGCCAAAGCTATTGTAATGTAACTCGAAAAAGTAAATAACCTATAACTCATATACTCTCCACTTACCACCTTTTCCATGACGGATCATTTAAAATAATATATTTAACCTAAAATATTACTCTAAGAATTGTTTAAAAAAAGATAAAATCTCACCATAAACACTGAGTGTTAGTCCAGTGCTGCCGGTGCTGTTGACAGGTCTGCTCTTGAGCTTTCCTGAGCAACTATATTGTCCTCCATGTTTAGCTGCAGCAGAGCTGATTAAGAGAGCCCTGGCATCTAAGTCAAAAGACACAGTATCATCAGCCTGGACCTTCTGTTTGTCTTTGTACCAGCTATACGTCCAGTCAGAGATGCCTTGTTCCATCCCACAGCTCAACTTCACACTCTCAGTGGGGAACACATCCAACCATTGGGTCATATTCTTCAACTGGGGAACAGGAATCTCTAAAAACAGACAAACACATGAGCCACTCATATCCCAAAAAATATCAAAAATATAATAGATGTATCTTGGTTGTACTTTCTTTGACTCACCATTTCTTTGACTCACCATATATTTGTAAAGACCATCCATCGCTTTGCTGTGTTAGGTATGTAGACCTTTGTCTTTTGGCTGTGCACCAATAATTCCCGCTGTCTGATAAATTGGCCTCATGAATTTTAAAAGTACTACTCTTGTGAGGGAGTGCCACTCCACCTTTTTTCCAGAGATACTCCCAACCAGATGAGATTTTAACTTGACAATCCAAGGTCACTAACTCTCCAATGTACACTTTGGTGTCACCCTTTGGTTCTTGAGTCATCACAGGTTTGGGGTGTTTCTCTAAAAACACAAAATCAGAAGACATGTATCTTTGTGTATTATGTCATGCCAGCAGCTTTTTACTGTTCATGAAATATCATAACTGTCAACAGAACTTACCTTTAACGTCAAGGAGTATAGCCTGACTAGGGTTGCTGGAGAAGACTGGATTCTTGCCCCTTTTCCCTTGGCATGTATATGATCCTCCATCTGAGGCCCCGATAGAGTTGATTCGAGCGTGACTGAGTTCACTGTTATCTTTGTAATAGACGTACTCCCATCCAGAGGAGACATTAATGTGACAGCTGAAGGAGACAGACTCTCCAGGGAACATCACCTTGTACTCTGGATCCTGTGTCAGTACGACACTGAGCATCTTAGCTGAGGGTAGTAAAACATGCTGATTCCATCAGTGTGTAAAATGACTCTCTACTCAGTGTGAAAAACAAGTTACCAGAATCCTCATGCACTAAAAAAAGTTTCTTTAACTGGCCCATTGGTCTTATCACAAAATCATTCGTTATCAGACCACTTCCTCTTTTCTTTTTTATTACTTATACAATAACAATGACAGTCGTGTGGGATTGTTCAGCCTTGGCAAAGGTAAGTATGCTCTACTAAGTGTATTTATTTGTGTGTAAATTTAGATCAATCAATCAATCAATCAAATTTGTATAGAAGTACACATTTAAAAGAAAACTCACCGTATACTGTGAGAGTAAGAATAGAACTTGAGGTGCTGCTGACAGATCTGTCCTGGAGGTGTCCTCTGCAGTTATATTGTCCTCCATGTTTAGATGAAGCAGAGATAATAGAAAGAATAGATCCATCCGGGTCAAAAGACACAGCATCATCAGCCTTGACCTCCTCTCCAGTTCTGTACCAGGTATACATCCAGCCAGTGCCATGCTGCATCCCACAGCTCAGCTTCACACTCTCAGTGGGGAACACATCCAACCACGGGGTCATATTCTCCAAATGTGGTACAGGAATTTCTAAAAACACACACAGAACACTTAGCACATCATCTTTGCAATGATGATGTTGTCTTCAACTCAAACCACTATGGTCCATAGAGGAGAAAGAGTAAAAAAGTACTGCCTTTATCCATACTTGTTGCAGAATAGAGAAGCTCAACAAAAACTAAAGAGTTTTTGTGCTCGTAATATTGAAAACACGTTTTAAATGAAGTGGTTTATGTAGACTGCCAAAAAAGTAAGTCTGACTTGCTTCCACTTCTACTCTTACATGAAACACATTTTCCACTTCAGTATACTGCATGCTTCTGAGCTATCCCTCCCTGCATCATGTCACACCACAACATCCTGCTTCAACAGAAAAAGCGTAAAATAACGGAAGCAAGATGCACACAGAATGCTCTTTCAATGAATTTAAAGTGCGCTCAGTTTTAAGGCAGTTTTAAGTGACAAGAGCATGACAACATAAAATGAAAACTCTATTGATGATAGATGATCAGCATTTTACACATTGTTAATGTACATCAACAGTTTGGCTTCTCCTTAAATACGATGCTTTAAGTAATACTTGTTTGCTTCCTTCACCTACCATGAACAGCTTGCTGTATTTCCGCACTCTGGCTCGTTGATGTTGTTTTACCTCTGGTGGCCTTGCATGAGTAATTCCCTCCATCAGACAGACTAAGAGGGAAGCTGAAGGTTTTATCGGTGGCAGAAGGGATGTTCTGCCCATTTTTGCACCACTGATATTTCCAGTCAGAGGACACGTTAACTGTGCAAGTGAAGTTCACAGTTTCTCCAACATACATTGGGGTGAAATCAGGGACCTTGCTCAATGTTGGTTTTGGTGTGTTTTCTGAAAGAGAGACACAGTTCATGCAATATTACTGCTACTCTCACTACCTTAAAACTTGTGAGGAAGTAATATTCAAACAACAGCCACTGTACAGCCATCTGTACAGCCTAATGCAAATCAATACAAGAGTTTTGCTGTAAAGTCTACATTTATTATTTTGCCTACAGTATAATGTTTACACTGTCATAGTTAATTAATTCAAATATACTTGAGTGTAATTTTCCCATAGTGTACTTTATATTGTGAAAAAGCAGTATTAAGCAGTCTTTTGAATACAACCTCAGTAATAAAAATACATTTGAAATTACACATCAACTTAGTAAAGGTAGAACTTTTGACAGAGCTGAACTAGACTGTATGTTTAGTGGCCCCGGTTTGATCACCATGACTACCTAGTACTGAATGAACAAAATGAAAAATTTATATGAGGATGTAATAACTATACTTATTTTGACATTTTGTGAAATACATTAGTCTCTCTCTTCCTGGGGGTGGGAGGATTTATACCATTCTGTCTCAGTGTATGCATAGTAAATATGGTATCGCTTTGCTCAGCTTAGCACAAAGGCTGAAACAGCTGGGCTCTGTCTGAAGCTGACATTTTTTTGTTTTAGAGGTACAAATGTGCTTTTTGTTTTTACCTATGGATCAAAGCTTTGCATGCTGTTTCCCCCTTTTTACATTATTTTAAATGGTAGGCTGTTGCTGATTGCTTCACATTACATTTTTTTAGAGAACGCTATCAATTTTTCTGCTCCTTCTTGGTTTAATAGCAAGTGGCGACTAACGTCAAGGTGCATTACCGCCACCTACTGTGTTGGAGTGTGAATCAGCGTTATCTCATCATATCTCATTATCTTGCCATATAAAATGATCCGGTCTCTTACAGATATTGAAGCGTACTCCCTACTCAAATTGTAAATAATATTTCCAAGCACAGTTCTTCCACTCTATGCTTAAAATTCGACAGAGTACTATCTCTGGCTGTTTAGCATGATCCCAAAATGTTACCGTAACAACGGACAGATGATGTAAAAAACAACATTGACATATCATAACATTTATCTTAGTGAACTTGTTCACAAACAGTCACTGACATTATGATTTATTTGGAGTTATGTTTTTGGTTATCTGCAAAATGTCAATTCAATGTTTACTTTCATTTAGTTTCGTTTTGGGTTAGCTTTTGCGGGAAACGTTTTCTAAACAGCTAAACAATGTTCCGTTACTCAGTTTAAATCTCTGAGAAGACTGAGTGACAGTTCTCTGTAAGTTCATCAGAAGAACAAGCCCTTCCTTTTTTTCACTTTGTTTTTTTTTTTACTGTAAAGCTATAGATAAGAGTTGCTATACCTGAATTGGTGTAAAGTTTATGTAGGTTATACATAGGATTGAATCTCACCATAAACTATGACTGTAGCTGTGTTGCTGATTTCAGAGGTGACATTCCTGGACTCGAGCTGGGCTTTACAGGCATAGGCTCCTTGATCAGTTTGAGTGACTGAGGTGATGTTGAAAGACGATTCGCCTTCATCCAGGTCCGTCAGCTTCTGTAGATTTTTGTACCAGGTGAACGTCCAATTAGAGCCTTCAACCAGGCAAGCAAACTCCACGCTCTCGGTTTTGAACACATCCAGCCATGGAGACAGCACCTTCAACAATGGTTTAGGTGGATCTGACAGAGAAATATTCAGGGTTAAACTTAAGACTTGTTGCATCACAAAATAATCTGAGAAAGGGTTCTCAAAAATGTCAAATGCATTACAAGATATTCGAAGATAAAAGAAAAATACAAATATCCAAAAGGTTCATCTCAATGGATTAGTCTGTGGTGACACACTTACCAGAGACCTGCACAGAGGTTGTTTCACTTCGCTCTGTGTCAAACTGGCTTTTGCCTCTTTTGGCTTTGCAGTAGTATTGTCCACTGTTAGAGGGATCTATAGAATGTATGGTATCTGGTGCTTGAATTTCAATTCCATTATGGTACCACTGGTATTCCCATCCAAAGGCCACATCAACCAAACATGTGAAGGTGACAGACTCTCCAGAGAACATCTTGTCAAAGTCCGGTCTTCGAGTCAGAGTTGCTTTGGGCTTGTTTGCTAATGAGAAAGAATGAAGAAAATATTTCAGTTCAGATCTTTACTCTGATGAGACATTCTGCCAAAATGTCGAAATGAAAGATAATGAAACCTACGGTAAACTGTGACCTCGAGTGAATTGCTGTGATTAGTCAAAACTGTGCTTGTTTTGTGTTGACCTCTACAGGAATAACTTCCAGACGTTTGTGTAGCTGCAGTGATAGTGAGGATTGATCTATCTGCAGAGAAAGACAGATTTGGGTCTTCTTCTTGTTCCTTATTATCTTTGTGCCAGATGATCTTCCACTCAGAGCTGCCGCTGATGTTACAACTCAACTCCACTTTCTCAGAGGGGAACGCTTCCAACCAGCCCAACTGCAGCTGCAGAGATGGTACAGGAGGCTCTGGAAGTTTATAATATAGAATAGAATATATTATTAAAAATAACAAAAATTGTATTGTCACGAAAGAGCAGGCCCATTAAGGCCCACTGGCATTTTGACCTGTATTGGAATTTTTAAAATATTCTTCCTGCTGTGATTTGTTGTCTTAAATACAGTTATGACAAACTGGATGCAAATTTTAATTGTAACGTTGATCTAAATACAAACAAGTGCAGACATTTAAAAACAATATTATTGCTTGAACCGTTTGACCAAGCACACTGATGATTTCGAAGGTGACACTTCTCATCACCATGTTGGTTGTTAATTATCACATATTTGAAAAACTGCCTGATGCAGGAAGTAATGACTTATCACAATCAATCTACAGAATCTAAGATTTTTTGATCAGATTTAAAATCTCACCTGAAACAGTCGAAGCTTCCATCGATGTTGGTCCAAAGTTCGTTAAATTGGGCCCCACGGTGACTGGTGATGAGAGGAGAGGTGTTGAGAACAGACATTAGATCAGAACAGTTAACATTTGTGCTTTATCTACACGTCATGTGAAGATTTAAGCTCTAGGAGCAAGTTCATTAAAACCAAGAGCTGCAACAATGAATCAGAATGAGAAACATTAAGGTTTCCTGCTCCTCAGATGTGATGATTTGATTTAAACAAAATAATAAATTTGCAATGGACAATTTTACAGTTCAATGATCAATTGTTTAATCAGGAAGATAATTTGCAAACAGAGTGATAATGTAAAAATGTAGTATAGCATATCAGGTGTTATTTGCACAACATGATACTGAAATATGAACTTGAACTAGTTGAACTGTAATTATAGTAACTGTCAAAACCGATAACTACAAAGTACTTCATGTTCCTCGTGTTTACATAATCTGTGCTTTACTTCCTAAAAAATGTTCTGGTCTGAGTTCAATTTAGCACATGCAGACTCAAACATTTAACAATATGTATTTGTTATTTTACGCAATCACATTTTCACAAATGGATATCAGATGTTTTAGATAAATGTGGTTTCTGTGAAACTGTTTTCAGACCAAAACTTTTTACTGATTTAAAAAAAAATTCTAGGATACTTTAACGAGTGAAATGTTTCTTACCATTTTGAGGATCCTGAGCTACACAAACTGCAGTGAAATCTATAAGATCAAACAATCATAAAAGGTCAGTGGAACAAATTTACATTAAATATTCTTGGGATGCAGATAAATCACAAAGAATTGACGCTATTTAAAAAAAAAAAAAACTTACACATGACAACGAAGACTCTGATAAGCCACATCTTCCATTGAGCTGCAGTTACAGAGGCCGTATTGCCGTGTTGGGTCATGTAACTGCTGTGTGGAGAAGTTAAGCAGAGGAAATAGACATAAGTGGGCGTGTTTGACAAATTCATTTCTAAACTCACCTCAAGACAAATGCTTTCCTGTCTCTCAATGACATCTGCACTTTTCTTTTTTGGTTGCAGCAACAGGAAATGTGTCACATGTCCTCACAGTTTTGTTCGCCTTAATTCAAATTGCTGATTTCTGCTGAAAAGTGGAAGGAACTGAAACTTATGAAGACAAGGTTTGCTGTTGTGTTGTGTTTATTGTCTACCCTGTGGATATAAAATAAAAAGTTTGTGTTATGTTTGAAAATTTAAATTTAAATTTGTATGAATGTAAGATTTTCCTAAATATTGTACTATTTAGGTATTTTGTACAGTGACACCAAACAATATGTTAGTTATTAAACTGAATCTGGGCTAAATTAAAAAGAATTAGCACTACTAACTGAAATGAAATTCTTTCCAGAATCATCTGAGAGCAGTTTCACAGTAGATCTTTTCAGCCATGTAGGTGTGGCATGTTTTTGAAAGCATGAGCGGAAGCTACAGGGTTTTATTTTCTGCATTTCTGTTAGCCCAACCCATCGAACTAATTACCAAGCAACATCCTGTTGTCTTCAGCTCTAGAGCCACTTTCTAGACATGAAAATAGAAATTCATTCTTAACTTATTCCTTCCTAAAAATCTCTCTCTCAAAAACACACAGACATTCACGCAGAAATCTTACAGGTTCATATAATCTATTGCTTCAGAAGAATGTTCCCTCTGTGGTGAAGTGTGACTTCCACCATGAATGATGTGGTGTGTGTCAGTTGTCAAGATATACAAATTGTGTTGATGTGTCAGTGGTTTGTTTCATCATACTCACCATAAGGTGTCAGTATAACACAGAAAATATATTATCTCTAGTCCCACCTGGGACAAATGCTAAAGCATCTCTGACAAAGTTCCACAAATCTGCTGTGTTACACATATTTACTTAAAAAAATGATACATATGAATTTATTGGTACTTTAAATATAGACCTCTCATCTAAAACTGCAATTTTAGGGACTGAAGCTAAATTCTTTAGGAAATGCATTGGGAGGAACTGAAATACCACTGATACCCTGTGATGGCCTTGAAGTGCAAATCACAACTCTTATTGTATGATATGCTAGTTCTGAGTGTAATCCACCTGTTGTACTATTGTCGATCTTTCATCATTCATACCCCCTGACTTTATATCTGAAAAGTTTGGGGCTTGCTGCTTCACTGAGATCAGCAACTGTGTTCAGATGGATGCATGGCAGCAACAGTAAATAAAGAACGAGCGGCAAGATGGCATCACTCACTGGAGGGGGAGGTGGTATTTTAAAGAGCAGACAGCAGCACAGGCTGTAGCTGTTCTGAGCAGGCGAGGTGTGAATTAGTGTGAGTGGGTGTAAAGTGAGTGCACTAAAGCTCTCTGTGGAACTAACCTGGCAAAACATCCAATCCAGACTAAGACATAAATGAAATGTTTTGAAGAGGGTTAGCTAAATTGTTGATTCTCAGTGTATATGTCCATGTTTCTACATATTGGATCACAACTGGCTCCAAACTTGTCACACTAAAGTCTATAAATCTCCCTGCACGGTGAAGGTCAAACATTCAAATGAAGAACGTCAAAACAGAAAAACCCATGTTTGAGAGGACCCAAATCACACATTATATTTTCAACTGTGTTTGTTAGATTATAAAACAACCTTTATTTGTTCTATATAAACCAAATATTTGTATTAACTTAATGTCTGTATTAACGACAGGAGTTAACTTTTTTTTAACTAGCCGTAAATGTTGTGTAATGTGTAATAAGCTGCAATATGTCCTACAACTACAAACTTATAATTGCGATGGTTATCTTAAATCTTCATCTGGTGTTTTTCATGATTCTTATAATTGATTCTTAGTCCTTGTTGTGTTGCTCTGATCTCTTTATTCCATGTGTAGTTTTTATTTGCTGATTGTGAACCCCTCTCACTTCTCAGGCTGTCTTGAAAAAGAGAAATCTCAATGAGACTGCCTCATTAAATAAAGATTAAATAAACACATTTACCATCTCACATAGTATTTGGCAATTTGTGTAGAAATCCAAATAACGTGTGATAAAATACATATTTTTATTGAAACATCCATACAGTCAGTAGAGTAGCATGTCTAAGGGTTCACTGTTTTATTGAGCAGTACATGTAAATACTATAACAAACAGCAAATGGACACAGGCAGAAAAAAATCGTGCTAAATATAGCCTTACATACATGTCACCAACTAAAATAACATACGACTGGCAGACTGGGATGGGTCGGGTGGTGTGGTTCCTCCCTGCATACTTGGAGGAGAGGGTGAGTCGGGATGTGATGGTGGAAACAAATATGGAGATGTTGGTATGTTGTTCTGTTCTTCTTCATTATGTACACACTGCTGCACAGCCAGCCATGACTTTCTCTCTCACCTCCTCAAGCACTCTAGACAAGATAGGAGAGATGTACAGAGAGGCATTTATTATACACACACGTTCACACACACGCAAACACACACTTGTGAACTTACCTCACAACATAAGACCTGGACTTCTGCTGGTCCATTAAAGGCACTGGGGAAAGATGATTTAAGCAAAAAATGGGTTAAATGGGGTCATGAGGTATGAACAACAGGAACGTTCTGGGAGAAACTGCGTGAGTGTGTGAGTGTGTGTGTGTGTGTGTGTGTGTGAGGCTGTTGATTTGCTTGAGGTTTTTGCGTGTGTGAGATTCGCTGCATATTTTCCATAGAGGATTAATAGGTTTGGTATTTTCACTCATAGCTAATTATCCCTTTTCTCACAGCAATCTGCTTTGTCGGTTGACTCATGGTAATGTGAAGAGTTTGGCTGTGTGTCAGATCATCTGGAGTCATTTTTAGAAAGCGTAGAGTGCTGCGCTGACATCACCCCCCCCGTCACCTAAAGGCGCTCCTCGCACTCTCTGTATATAATCCCTTGTTTTCCCCTTGAGGGGCCCTTCCATGTATGGCTGTGTGGTATGGGACTGCATCCTGACACTCTGTAAAGACTCACAAGCACGACCACGTCATCTATAAGGCCTGGTTTGCACCTGCGATGAAGCTGCTCCTCTGGTAATCTGACCATAAGCAGACAGCTGTAAATACAGGTGCGAATGCCTCCAATCACATCAAGGATGGGTTAAGATCTAATCACTCGAGTCAAATTGGAAGGGGGGGGGGTTGTGGTCAGGGAGGCATGTGACCCCATTTGCAGGACAGTGTTAACACACTCGTCCCTGACCGCACTGAAGGTCAACTTTGTAGTGTGCATGTAGCACAGCAACTGCATTTAAATAATACATGGAACTGAGGCCCTGCGTTCAAGGTTGAGGACCAAAATGACACAGCTCCTTCTCTCATTTGTGTAAAAGTGTTTTCACTCTGGCAGCGGTCATGCAGCAGTCATAAATCACATCAACTAGATATCAGACAAAAAGGTCAAAGGTCTGTATTTACATGATGCCTTTTCTCGTCTTGACCACTCAAAGTGCTTTGCAGTACAGTTTTTGCCTTTGACACACACATTCATACAGTGCATATATGTGTTTCTATGAGAACGGCACAGTATCAGCAGGTGTCTATTTAGAAAATTGTGTTTACAAAGTCCAAAAAAAGATAAAGTTGCCAAAGTCTCATTCAGCTAATTCCTCTCTGCCATAAACAACCACTGTTCTTTTAAAAACACTATTGCACCTTCATTAACATAGATATGGGCAATGTAGTTTATTGTGAGTCTTTCCATTCTGCTGCTGTAGTAGAACACAGAGTCTGCAGCTGAAAATAGTCCTTAACAAATACATTATTTAGTTTGTTTGATAAAACCTAATAGTCCAACTATTATGGGTATTTTTTTTAACTTCACTTGTCATGTTCAAAACCAAAGTTTAAAAACTGATATGAGCTCCTTAGAGACCGAGAATGGGAAAGAGAATACATGAGCGACGTGCTGCCATCTAAATATATTGAATGTAATTGGTCCCTTTGCTTACATGCCTTCATTGGCCGGCAGGGACGGAGATTAGTGTTTCAATTCAATCCACAAAAAGAATCAGTGGTATGTCCCTAACGATGAAAGAAAACAGTTATCATTTGCTCTCAAACTATCCTGTGCATCTCTTCACTGACATGTTTCATCAACTGTCACCTCATTCACCCCTGCTCAAATATCCTTCTCTTCTTTGTTGTTGTTGTTTTCTTGTTCTTGGGTTTTTCATCTTCTCTCACCATCTTTCTCCTCGCTGTTTTAAAAAAAATACTTGAATGGTGCGTCTCTGTTCAGCAGTGATAATGACACAAGTTGAGCAGAGTCTCCTGACACTTCTTGAAACGCTACACCTCTCGAGCATTTAAAAAGCTGAAATCAAAGTGCCGGTACCACAACATGAATGTGGCTGCCAAATGGTGAGGGTATAAATAGAAACACGAAATCTGTATACACATGAAATTTGGTATTTCTATTTGACTGATAATCATCTTTGCCACATTACCACACTCGAAAGCAGGGCCTGTGACAAACAAGATGTAATAAACAGACATACTATTGGTTTTAATTGGATGGTATAAGTTTAAAAACTATTCACGGTAAGTCAGGAGGCACAGGAACATCATCCAACTGTATCATCATCAAGTACACACAGCGTTTAGAAGAGGAATCAGGATTGAGCTGTGTTGTCATAGTGATGGTAGAGACATGTGATTGAAGGGTATTTTTGAGGAAATGAAGATAGTAATAGTACAAATGAAGATAGACGATAAACACAGATATGAGCGTTTGTTTTTGTTTCTTACCTCTGGAGATTCAGATGTTTACTTTATTTTCCCTTTGCAGCCTCCCCGATAATAACCTCTGTTGAAAGACAAAAACAGGTCATGTTTAAAACTGATATATTACAGATAATGAAAAGTTTCACACGGATGAACTAGTA